AAGGATGGCCCCACTTACCGTACTGAACCATAATATGTAGTGTATTGTAGTATGAGTAATTCTGGGAGGAAAATTATTATTATTATTATTACAACTGTGTCAGAACGAAAAGGGTGGGACAATACTCGCCTCCGTGTCTTTAATAAAATCATGACTTTTCGTCATGTAATAGCAAAATCATGTAATTTTATAACAAGACACGGAGGCTCATATTGCAAGTTTAAAGCTGATCCATTACCGCAGCGAATGTATGTGGGGCCGGCCAAAAGGAAAATTCTCGGAATGTAGACTCCCTAGACCAGTCAGCCGTCCTCATAATGTCTTCCAGGCATGCGCCTGCCGACATCATAGAAGAGGCTGATGCCCCCCGGACCGAATGGGCGCCAAATATCGTGGTATCAATACCTGCTTGGGACAACAGCCATTTCACCCATCGTGACAAGGTAGTGCTAGAAACCGGGTGAAAAGGAGGACGGAAAGATAAAAACAAGGAGAGACGGTAGAGCGATGTGGGTTGGTGCGAGTCTCGTATTCGCGAAGGCAGGCCACTGGGCATAGTGAAGGAGAGCCAGAGAAACTAGGGTAGGATACTGATTTGATGGAAGTCTTAGTCCGTCTGCTGATGTTGAAAGTTACCCCGTCCGGGGTATATGACTTGGCATCGAAGTCCAGTGCTCTGACATCCGAAACCCTCTTGCATGAGACGAGGCAGAGCAGGCAAACCAATTTGGCAGATAGCTGTTTGAGGGAGAGTCCTGAGTTAGCAGGCCAGGATGAGAGGAAAGCCAATACGACCGAGATGTCCCAGGTCGTGGAGTAGCGGGGCCTGGGTGGTCGTGAAAATCGAGAACCCTTGAGGAGTCGGCACACTAAGGGGTGCTGTCCCGCAGGGCAGCCATCGAAGCCTTGATGAATCGCCGATATAGCAGATCGGTAAAGGTTGATAGTCCTGTATGCCTTTCCAGCCTTGAAGAGGGACGTCAGGAACTGCAGGACCATTGTTACAGAGGCCGAAACGGGATCCGCGTTCCTAGCCATGCACCAGCCAGCCCAAGCTCGCCAAGCTGACCCATATGCCCGTCTAGTGCCGGGAGCCCATGCTGCTGCCAATAGGCATCTAGTCGTGTCCGAAACCCCTTGGATTTCCCAGGGTCCCCGGAGATCCGCCATGCCAGGAGTGGGAGAGAGCATTCTAACCGGAGGGGGTGATATCGTCCCGTCGGGTCCTGCAGTAAGTTGTGGTGTCCCGGTAGTAGTCGGGGATAGTCTAACGTCATCTCAAGCATTTGGGGGAACCACGACTGCGTTTCCCAAAATGGGGTGACCATGACCACTTCTGCCCGGTGTTTGCGGGTCTGTAGGAGTGAGCGCGGGATCATGGAAAATGGGGGAAAGGCATATAGGAGGCCTCCGTTCCAGTCCTGTAGGAAGGCGTCCACTGCCTCCGCCATTGGATCTGGCCTCCAGCTGAAGAAGCGTGGGAGTTGGGCGTTGAGCTGGGAAGCGAAAAGGTCTATGGTAAACGGTCCCCAGAGATACGATATATTGGAGAACACCTCCTTGGCCAATCTCCAGTCACTGGTGTCTGAGAGATAACGTGAACCCCAGTCCGCCTGGACATTGTGCAGACCAGGTAGGTATTCCGCGTAGACCATCAGGTTCCGTTCCAGGCAAAATTCCCAAAAGTCTTTTGCCAATCTGGCCAGGACTGCCGACTGTGTACCACCCAGGTGGTTGACATATCTCACCGCCGAAACATTGTCCATGCGGAGTCGAATACATGATAGGGCTCGGTCCCTGGCGAAGCTGCGAATGGCGAAGGAGCCTGCCAGGAGTTCCAGGGCATTGATGTGCAGTCGGGATTCGGATTCCGACCAACGGCCCCCTGTTGAGACTCCCTCGCAGTGGGCTTCCCAGCCATGGAGACTCGCATCTGAGTCGATTGTGAATTCTGGCATTGAGCCGAAGATGGCTTTGCCATTCCATGCGGACATGAGAATCCACCATCGCAACTCGTCTTTCGTCTCGCTGTCCAATGATACCAGATCCGCGTAGGATGCCCCGGATCTTAGGTGGGCGATCTTTAGGCGCTGTAGCGCTCGGTAGTGGAGCGGACCTGGGAACACGGCCTGTATCGAGGAGGCCAGCAGGCCTATGAGTCATGCAAGTTGGTGTAAGGTGAGCTGGGGCCGGATGAGGGCCCTGCGTAACTCTTTGCGGATGGATCGAATTTTGGATATCGGGAGGCTGAGCGTTGCTTCCCCCGAATCCACCAGGAATCCTAAGAATTCCATGCGAGTGGCGGGGGTCAGGCATGACTTCTCCCAGTTGATTATGAAACCTAAGCGTGAAAGGGGGTTTATGGCCAGCCGTAAAATGTGTGAGGAGGGTGGAACGCTCCTGAGCCATGAGGAGAATATCGTCTAGGTAGACGATTAGTCGAACTCCTCGACTGCGTAGCCAGGCCATCAAAGGCCGTAATAGCTTCGTGAAGCACCATGGTGCTGAGGAGAGGCCAAAGGGTAGGCAGGTGAACCGCCATGTTTCGTGCTGCCAGTAAAAGCGTAGGAGGTCTCGAGATGCCGCCATTATTGGCACTGTCAGGTACGCGTCTTTTAGGTCTAGCTTCGCTAGCCAGTCTCCGTGGAGGAGGAGATCTCTTAGTAGGTGAATACCTTCCATCTTGAAACGGCGGTACCTGACTATGGCATTGAGGGGGCGCAAATTTTTCCACCAGGAAGATATTGCTTATGACACCTGCGGGGTTGAGGGGTGCTTGTTCTATAGCCAGTTTGGGCTCAATTTTGAATAATATGGCCTTACGCCTTTCTATAGATAGCGAGGTATTTACACTCCCAGCAATGCATATTGCTCTCTGGACCCAACCTCTAAGGTCAACCATGCGGTTCTCCGCTCTGGCGTCTTCCACCAAGTCAAATAATTTGGCCAAGGGGCCGAATATGTCCAGGTGTTCGTCCTGGCAGGATTTCAATGCCGACTCCAGTCTTTTACGGGGATTCCAGCCCATTTTAGTGAGGAACTGGGTCATCTTGGGGTCTACCTCCGGAGTGTCACAAACTTTGTTAGGCACCACAGGCCTAGGACACTCTGCCCTCAATTTGTTGTGGGCCGCTTTACTTAAGGGTCTTCTGACCCAATTTTCCAGGTATGTGGCAACGTGGTCAGCCGGGAGCCACTCTGCCGACCTCGGATGGTGTAGATCATCCGGGTCGAAGAGTGGGACACCCGAAGGATCCACAAGGGTGGTCCCCGCAGCCGCGGGGTTCCTGATCCCTATCTCGCCTCCGGGCATCTCTGCCTGAGCAGAGGAAAGGAGGTCAAGACCAGCATCAGCGGCATCCGCATCAGAGTCAGTATCCGACTCGCTCTTAGCCTCCTCATTTGACCCGATTTCTGAGTCTGTGTCGCTCTCTATCTGTGCTCTGGCACATTTCCATAGCTGCGCCTGTTCTGCCTGGCGCAGAAAGTCTCTTTTGCGTAGATGGGACACGCTTTCTGGGGCGACCGAAGGTACGCCAGTCATGGTGTTTCTGGAGGCAAAGGGGTGCTTGGACTTACGGGTAGCCTTTTTAAACACCTCTTTAGACACCTCTCCGTGGGGTTTCACAGAGGGACGCGGTAAAGGCGTCGAGAGGTCCGAAAGTTGCTCGTCTGAAGGACGTGGCAAGAGGGCCTGTGAAATGGTGTGGGAGAGGGTGGAGGACATAGACCCCATGGCCGCCATAATGGCGTCTATCACTGAGCGCTGCAGCTCTAGAAACTGTGCCCCATCAGAGTGGGTAGTTCCATCAGCCATAGTAGGCGAGTTGTCTGAGGTGACAGGAGCCTCACTCCTAATGAGTGGGGTATCAGACTCCCCAGAGGGAGTGGACCCAGTGGATAGTCTGGGTTTAGGCATGTTGAGAAAATTAGCAGGGAATAATAGGTAAGAGAAAAGGTATGGGTTAGTCACCCAAACAGCTAGACAAAGCTAAAAACGCTCTCACCAGGGCCCAGACCAGTGACACACTAAGATGTAGGAGACAGGAAGTCTGAAAATGGCCACCGGTAATCTCGCGGGATTCGTGCACCCGCGAGATTCACGACAAAAACTACCGAACGTTCGGTAAAATAAGGTGAATTCGGGGACCAGATAGGTAAGTATAAGGGAATAAAAAGTAAGCGAATGTACCGTTTGCATAAAAAAAATTTGAATGCGGCAAACATGCGAACGCTCTGTTCGCCGAATGGGGAATGAGATGTGTGTGTGGCGAATCAGCCGAATAGGCCGGGGAGAGAATGTGCACAAAATGGCGCCAGGGCAAAAGACAGATAGGAGACAAGACTACATTGACAGGGGAGGTCTGGGCCCTGAGACTAACAGAAAAAACAGATAAAGACATAGAGGTACAATGAGACAAAGTACTAAATAATTGTAATACAAAATGAAAATGAAATAAATATAAGTAAAATGAATAAATAAATAAATACATAAATACAATAAATACAAATAAATGTAAGATAAATATGGTAGGAAAAAACTAGAATGCTACCAGGTTTAAGTGGTAAGCAGACTGACAGAAAATATCAATGAGAAAAAACCAGTATAATAAGAAAATATGAAGAGAAAAAATGACATGTACTTATCTTTGTGTCGGAGCAGCAAAGAAAGAGGGAAATGGAAGGGAAGTGCTGCCTGTTATACTGGGACCTGAGCGGGGAGGGGCCTATGTTACTGCATGTTCATTATTTTTTCATTCTGTTTGTATTCTTTGCTGCTATTGGTGGACAGTAAAGAAAGGGATATGCAATATGAGCCTCTGTGTCTTGTTATAAAATTGACCTTAAACAACTGTATCTCTTTCTCTCTAAATTGAACTTTAATCAAATACAGGAGGTTCTTGCAGGGTCTAGCAAACTATTAACAAAGCAGGGGATAAGAAAATCAGAATTAAACAGAACTTGTAATAAGGGAAGGATAAACTTTAGATGACTCTTTACAGGAAGTGTGTAGGGAGGCTGTGCAAGTCACGTGCAGGGAGGTGTGACTATGGTTTATAAACAATGGTAACAGTACAACTGTAAAGATACAGAGTTATCAGTTTAGGCAAGACAGGAGAGTATAAACCATACCATGAATATTGAGTTTTAATCAAGAGAGGCTGGGTAGGTGGGTAGGTGGGGATGTGGGAAGGTGGGTGGGGGGCCTCCGAAATACTAGTTCCCCCTGTCCCACAAAAGGAGAAGGTGGGATGGGCAAGCGTCCTTTATTGGACCATGATGTCTTCCCACGGTTGCCATACCTTGTTAAAGGAGGACTTTGTGTTACAGATTTGGGCAGTTAATTTATCCATCAAATGGTTGTCTTTTATTTTTAGAATAACTTCGTCTAATGTGGGTACTGTGGTCTTAAGACATGACTGTGCCACAGCGCGTCTTGCCACCAGGGTAATTTTATTATGGCGTTTCTGTTCCCAAAGGGTGAGGCCCTCAGTGAGTTTGGATAGTAGGAATGACCATTGCTCTGGGTCCACCTGTCTGTTCAGTACCTCTTTTATGAAGCTACCTACGTTAGCCCAGAACTGAGCAATTTTAGGGCAGGTCCACCACATATGTAAAAATGTTCCCCTTACGGTGAGTTACCTCCATACTAGGGATCGACCGATATTGATTTTTTAGAGCCGATACCGATACCGATATTCCGTGAACTTTCAGGCCGATAGCCGATATAATTTGCCGATATTCTGTACATTTACCATTTTGGAAAATAAAAACTATTTCTAAAGGTAAATGCACAAAATATACATGCCACATGTAGTGGATACAGTGTGTTTAGACAGGGGAGCTGGATGTGTTTGTGTAGTGGATGCAGTGTATGTTTGTGTAGTGTGTGTAGTGGATGCAGTGTGTGTTTGTGTAGTGTGTGTGTGTGGATGCAGTGTGTGTTTGTCTAGTGTGTAGTGGATGTAGTGTGTATTTGTCTAGTGTGTAGTGGATGCAGTGTGTATTAGTGTAGTGTGTGTATATAATGAAAGCAGAGTGATTGTGTAGTGTGTGGGTAGTGTGTGTAAAGTGAATGCAGTATATACTAAATGCAAAGTGTGTGTGTTTATGTAGTGTATATAACGAATGTAGTATGTTTATATAATGCAGAGTGTGTGTGTTTGTATAGTGTGTGTGTATATATAATGCAGTGTTTGTGTAGTGTGCATTATATAAACACACTATGCAAACACACACTGCATTAATTATATACACACACTAAACACACTGCATTATATACGCACACTACACACACTGCATTATACACACACTACACAAACACTGCATTGTATACACGCACTGCATTATATACGCACACTACACACTGCATTATATACGCACACTGCATTATATACACACACTACACAAACACTGCATTGTATACACACACTACACAAACACTGCATTGTATACACACTGCATTATATACACAATGTGTTTGTGTAGTGTGTGTGTGTATATAATGCAGTGTGTAGTGTGTTTGTGTAGTGTGCATTATATAAACACACTACACAAACACTACA